CATACGACATGAAAATCATAGTATATAGCTGTAGATGGCTGAGATAAACATCTTTGCTTCAGTAATGTATTACAAAATATTAACAGCTAAAGAGTTATCGATTAAAGACTTCTGGCCCCTCTTGGCCCCTAGTTTGAGTGCCCAGCCCCCTTTTCTTGATTTCATCTTGAAGCTTTTAGGATTTTGAACACTTTTTGTTCAACAACTATTCAGAGATTCTTTTTCGTTTTCGAGTTATTTGCAAAAGAAATATTTAGGGGCCAACCCTTCAACTCCCTTATGGGGACGTTTAGCGAAAAATGAAAGGTTGCATATTGTTCAGAACATGATTTTGAACATCTTTTGTTCAATATTACTTGTCAAAATATTTCTCACTTTCGAGATATAAACTATCAACGATTTAGCATTCTGGCCCCTTGTAGCCCCTAACTATGTAATATACGATAATAAAATCATAATATACAGTTGTAGATTGTTAAGATAAACATTTTTGCTTCAGTAATGTATAGCAAAAAATTGACTGTTAAAGAGTTATCGAAAAAAGATTTTTAACCCCTCTTGACCCCTAATTTGAATGTCCAGCCCCTTTTTCTGGATTTCATCTTAAAGCCCTTAGGATTTTGAGCACTTTTTGTTCAACAACTATTCAGAAATTCTTTTTCGTTTTCGAGTTATTCGCAAAAGAAATATTTAGGGGCCAACCCTTCAACTCCCTAATGGGGACGTTTAGCGAAAAATGAAAGGTTGCATATTGTTCAGAACATTATTTTGAACATCTTTTGTTCAATATTACTTATCAAAATATTTCTCACTCTCGAGATATAAAGCGTCAAAGATTTTGCATTCTGGCCCCTTGTGGCCCCTAATTATGTACCATACGTAATAAAAATTATAATACATAGCTGTAGATTGTTGAGATAAAGATTTTTGCTTCAGTATTATATTACAAAATATTAATTGATAAAGAGTAATCGATTAAAGACTTCTGGCCCCTTTCTGCCCCTAATGTGATGAGTCAGCGTTTTTTTCTTGATATCATTTGAAAGATCTCCTTGTTCTGCACAAATGATGTTCAGTATTTTCTTACAAAATATTTATACTTTAAAAGATATGATGCAAAATATCTCCAAAAATCACTCGTGATTCGTGTCCTAAATTTTGACCCCTACCGAGCTTCCATACTAGGTACTTCCGGAAACTATCCAAACTCCCAGTAACATGGGGACATGTCCTCTATCATCACTGAAAATTTCAGTGCTCTAGCTCAAGCCGTTTTCGAGAAAATGAACGGACAAGGAGGTCCTCTGAATTTTGATAAAAGGGCGATAACTCTAGACCGGAAGTGATTTTCACAAAATCCTTCAGCCGGTATAAACTTCAGATTATCCTGCAACATCCCTGAAAATTTGAAGCAAATCCATCCAACCATCTCTGAGAAATCTTCTGCACAAAATTTGTGCAGAAAAAAAGAATAATAATAATAATAATAAGAAAAGTGAAAAAGAAACATAAGAATAATAGAAGGGTCTTCCGCTGAAGACGGAAGACCCTAATAATAATAATAATAATAATAATAAGAAACAGAGTAAAAACAATATGTTCCCCAACTTCGTTTGGGGAACATAATAAAGTTTACAGATAAGTTGTGCTTCATAAATTCATAAAATTTAACAAATGATTAGACATTAATTGAAGTTATTGTTTAATAATTGTTTAAAAATTACGCATAAATATGGTAAATTACGAAATGAACAAACTCAACAAATTATGTGCTTCCAATATTATATATAATATATTAATTTTGAAGATGAGCGAGATGAATGGACAAAAACCAAATTAAGATATGTTTGCAATAGTGCATTTGCAGCTGTTCTGCATTTAACTGAAAGAAGCATGCAGCACATTACACTACCCAATATATGACTTCTTGAAATATTTGCACTGTCGTGAGAGATACATATACAGATTTTTACTAATAAGAAAAAATAGTTTGTCATAGAGGATTAAAATTTCAAAAATGTTATTTTTTTTTGTTAATTATATACATTTTTGAGGGGAAAAAGACAGAGATGATATCTTAATTCTTATGACAAGACTTTTCCCCTGTATTTGACATTGCTATGTGTGTCAATGAAATATAAAGAGAGAGAAAAAACAGTATTCAAGCGTCAGAAGTGGGAGCAGTTGGTATAGAGGACCTGGTGTGTGCTCCTTATCATGATCGGAAAATAACGGAAAAATCTGTCAACAACTTTGTGTGTAAATAATGACCCAACAATAAATATGAAAAACGTCAGTCAGCATTCAATGTTTTTAAATGTAAATATATTGAAACACTATGCACTTATTTTATCAATTGTTAAACATGGGTAGTATATTTTAACATTACTCTTCAAACTTTACATATCAACAAACCTCTCACTAAAAAGGTTATTGTATTTTTGACGCTCTAATTTTAACAAAAAATACTTTCAATTCCCTCAAAAAGTGATTAACAGTTATAGTCATGATTTAAGAATTAACGACGACACGAGGGAAAAATGTTCTGTTTCAAATCCTTAAAGTATGCATACACTCATTTTGATTGTGCAGTTCATTACCAACAGTGCCAACAATTTTAATAGCACTTTTTCGTGGCTACTGACCCCACCAGAGATGTTTTGAAGGTCCGTGTTTGTTCCGTTTCTATTTTGTATTGTTTTATGGATTTTTGAGCTTAGATAATGTTCGTTATTTCCATATATTTCTTTTTGTGACGATCAAAAATGACATTTTCGAGAATTTCAAGACAAGGGTTACTTTTTTCTTTACAAAAATCTTTATTAATAAATTTTACTTCATATAATGTTTCAGTATCAAAACATTCACTATTCAGCCTATATAAACTATTAATACAATGACAATTTACGGAAAAAATATATAAGCCAGATGCACATAAAATATTGTGCTATTTAGCCTTTAAAATGTTATATTTACATTCAGTGTAATTTTCTGTATGAAATCCATTAGAAATCCACGACGTTCAAATCTCCATAACACACGCGAAACCTTGTCAACCCGTGGTAGAATACACAGTAGTAACTAAATGCATTTTCTTAAATCTTGGAAAACCAAATATACAATATTTTAACTCAATTTACTTTAAAACTTTAATCCTGTTAAATTAATATAAAAATACTACAAATGTACTTTTTTACTTTCAACGTCATTTGACGTCACAAACGGTTCTTATATACGTCTTTTAACCAAGCCAGTTTGAAGGGCGCTAAATTCACAATAATAATTAACGAAACAAGAAATCACCCCTGCGAGACGATCATGAATAATTCATGAATTTCCTTGAATTTTTCATGAATTTTGTTCATGAAATATTCATGCAATATTCATGAAGATCCTATGAACTTATTATTGGACATTTTCAAATCATGAATTTTTATTCATGAAAGAAAATTGATGAATATTCATGAATATTTTTTTTCATGAATAATTCATGAAAAGTCATATTCATGAAGATTCATCATTTCAAGAATGTCCAATAATAAGTTCATTGGATCTTCATGAACTGTTCATGAATAATTTGATGAATTTTTCAGGAATGTTCATGAATGAATAAAATTCATGAACCATTAAAATTCATGAATATTCTTGCTTATTTGTAAACAAAAAATGCAATGTTATTATTCATGTTTATTCATGAAAATGCATGAAGTCATGCTAAAAAAGTAACAGTAGATGTTTTATAATACAGCATCTTGAAAGATTTCACAGAAATGTTGTTTGTTTTCCAACCATGGCAACAAAATCTTTGTTAAAAAACTTAAAATAAACAGTTCTGACATATTAAACCATAGTAAATGAGTAATGTAGTTCATTCCTGGTAAAAGTATAAAAAATTTCAATTCAAACACAACTCTTGGCAGAATGTTTAACCTTACTTGGTCAAGAGGAGGGGGGTCCTTACTCAGCATGTTTCAAAGTGTGTTTTAATGCCAGACATTGAACAGTTTTTAATTCCGGTCTAGGACAAAGTTTGTTCAGCACCAGGGTAACAGTTTTAAGTGCTTTCAAGCAGTTCGAGCAGAGATGGTCAATTCAAAAATCCTTATTGTCTGTTTCCGTCTGTCCTTGTGGAATTTCCAGAATTTCACCATTTGGATCCTTTGATTGAATATCATTCATATTTTCAATTCTTTTTTTCTTTCTTTTTCAAGAGCTCAGATTTTTTTTTGCAGCCAGAGTTTCTTGTCTTCTGCTCATCAACATTTGTGAACTGCTTCTCTTTTTCCTTCAAAAAGAAAGATTTTCTGAAATTACCCATGATTGTAAAACATAAGACTTTTTTGTGTATTTTCTTGCATTTTAGTTTCATTTAATTTTGCATCAGAGGCACTTCCAAATTAAAACATTCTGAATGGAATTTAAGCCTATTTTCTTGGACCGCCATTTTGTAGATCAATCAGGCCTATGGATGTTTCGAGTCTAAGTCTATAATTAATGTATGTTATATGGTTGGATCCAAACTCAAAGCAAAGTTATACAAAACTTTCATTTAAAACAAAAGACGTATTAATTTATTTTACAAATAGACAGTAACATTTACAGACAGTTTTCTGACTCATTGATTGCCTCCTTTTTTGTCACTCACCAGTTATGAAGTAGATCAATCCTATATATAGTCTTCCTTCTTCATATTCTGTTATTTTCTTTAAAAGTTGACAAAAATCAGTGACTATGCAAATTTTAGATCACAAATACCGATCCTTCCACTCTCCAAATTCCCACTTCCAACGTCTCGCGCGTTTTCAAGTTTGCGCCTTTTCAAAAATGTACAGTAGAGCTAAGAAATACGTTAGTTTCGAATTTCCGAGATTTCTGTACATGTTTAAAAAAAAATAACAAATACTATCTGATAATTTTTCACTGAAAAATACAATTTTTTTTATATCAAAATAAGTTTTATCAATGAAGAATTCGAACTTTTTACGTCATCAATTAATTGGACTAAGATTACAATAACATCGGGATCGAAGTCGGGCTCGATGAACAATTAATTTTAACAACTCCGAAATTCAAAAATATCGAATGCCATGTTCATCATGTTGATGTTCCACAGAAGGAAAGTTGGAACGAGTGCCACGAACAGGGGGATCATGGTCAGCTTGGGATGGAAGAAGATGACGACATTTTTAAGACCGGTAGGTACAATATTGTACAGTATTTTATGTGTCCTCGAACGAAGAATGTTTCTGCTACTTTTGATTAGGGCCTAATCCGGGTACCATACATAAAATGCCCGACGATGAAATCGTTAGGACAAGCACTATTTCTGTAATAATTATTTAACAAATCTATACATATCATTAAGATCATTGATTAACCCGAATTTCCTTGCTTGGAATCGAACTGATGTCAAGAATTTTACTACCTGTACCTTCCTTTGTTCAAGATAACATTTACAGAGTATGATGTACATGTAATTAATTATATATTTTGTAATGCATGTTCATGACCATTTTTCAGCTCTTATGTTGTATGTTTCGATTGTTTTAATAGTTGCTGCATTGCCTGAGATGATTTTCACAGCCCTGGCCTTTGATAAAGTGCATATACATGTAGATGCTTAACCAATCAGTCACTAGGCTTGTGAATATGGTGAGAACCAGCTCAAATTATCATTCAAAACAAATGTAGAAGTTCGGGCTTTACGGACCGTGGATATCGGCCTGGATAGCTCAGTGGTTAGAGCACCTGACTAGTAATACAGGGGTCCCGGGTTCGATTCCCGGTCCAGCCATATGTTTTCTTCGTGCATTTCTCCTTTCCTACTACATTTGGTGGCCAGAGCGGGGGGGGACCTTGTTCAGGTTACAGTGTATGTGTAAATTAGTAATTCCTGGCAGGGCCCTAGAACTTGTGTCTTCGAGGTCGAAGACTGTTTAAGGAGGGAGGAATGTACATGTAGAAGTTCGGGCTTTACGGACCGTGGATATCGGCCTGGATAGCTCAGTGGTTAGAGCACCTGACTAGTAATACAGGGGTCCCGGGTTCGATTCCCGGTCCAGCCATATGTTTTCTTCGTGCATTTCTCCTTTCCTACTACACAAAGAAACTAACTTTGATTTTATTAATCTATGTCTTTAAGCATAAGATTAAAAAAAATAGTGCAACTATGCCAAGTAAACAACATTTAAAGATTTATATTCTTAACATGCCTAATTTCCATATCCTTATTATTTTAACAATGAATTCTGAAAGGTAATCTAAACATGCTAACTGCATGGGTATGTATAATTATTTTAGATCAAATATAATCAAAGATATCATCTTCTATGAAGTATAAATGCATTTTACAGGAATCCGGATGCTCACAAGATTTAGGACAAGAACTGTATAAAAAATGGTAAGATTTCTTCATTATTTTCTTAATCAATCAAATCACATGAATTAAAATTAATTTTTTTTCAATGTCAGTCAGGCATTGAGCTACAGCTCTAGCCTTTTCATTTAAGCTCACCTGAGCCATTTTAAGGCCTAAGTGAGTTTTTTGATCAGTGTCACAGTCTGGTGTTTGTCTGTTGTCTATAAACTTTTCACATTTTTACATTTATCAGAATTAATCCTAATTTGAACAAAAATTTCAAGATAGTGAATTCATATTCTACAGTAAACTGATCTGCCAGGTAAAAAAGAACAATTGTTTTGTAGAGCTTTAGTTTAATATTTGTCATATATTTATACGGATATCAATAATGATGCATCTTAAATGGTCATCTCCTCTTTCAGAAATTGTGCAAGAAAGTTTGAAGTGTCTGTTGGAATGCTCAACATCGAACTTGCTGAGTTTTCGTACTAAAAGTGAATCCGTTGGTGATGCCAATTATCTGTCAACCCTCTATTGCAAATTTCATGGGATATCTGAGGATGTGATTCTAGCAACATGTGACATCAGAAGTTTTGTATCTTCCATAATTGGGATCTTTGGCACGTCCATTGGTGGAAAATAGCAAATGTTCATTTTATGGGATCTTTGTATCAATGTAGTTGTGTACTACATATATTTTTGCATTTAATACATGTGTTTGTCACTCTAGTCACTAACTTTGTACAGTAAATGTACATGGGCTACTGCCACTTTATTGTAAATGTATATACTGTTGAGGTTTCAATGACCTCTCCCAATCCTTGGCCAATGTCATTTAATGAATCTAACCTCTTATTTAAAAAAAAAAATGCATACTTTAGTTTACTACATACATGTATATCATAACTTGACTATCACTAATTTAACCAAGGCGATCCCCCAGTAATCTTATTTTTTCTTGGATATTTCTGTTAATAACCTTTAATGTAAAATACTTTGCTGTTTCATTGAGAATACATACATTTAAAAAAGTGTGCTTATATTGTACATCTGAGTGGTATATGCTATTATATTTGTCTCAAAAAACATTGTAAAAGAAACTGTGAATTTTTTATTTTGCAACTTGTTTAAAATTTGATGTTAGAGAAAATTCGGTCAAACAAAGTTGTGTGATGAAAAACGACATTATTTAAAGCACATTATGATGAATATAACTGTTTAATTTAAATTATGAAGAAACATAAATAATCAATTTGAAAAAAAAATGCTGTCAATGGTGATGCAGTGTTTGTTTGATTAAAATCAAATAAAAACACAAAATGTTTAGAGATTTCAGATTTATTTTTTCAGATAGTTGGTGAAAGAATGTTATTTAATATAAATTATGCCAGAGGCTTGTTCAACAACTGCATCTGCACGCAAAAGTTGCATTATGAGAGTAATGAGTGTTTTAGTCTTCATGAAAATTCATGAACATTCATAATACCTTGAACTCTACATTTTTTCTGTCTTTAAAATGAAAATTACCAATATTCATATAAATTCATCATTTGTTCATGAACTACATTTTATGAATATATTCATGAATAAAGTTCATGAACCATCTTTATGAACCAGTCATGAACCATTCATGAACACATCATGAATGTTCATGAACGATTCATAAAAGTTCCTGAAATTATGAATTTCACCTCGCAGGGGCACAAAGAAGGAAAATTTGAGAATGTAAATATAAGCATTAAATTTTTAGATGTATAACACTCGGTTTTTAATTTGTCGGCACGGCCAGGTGTGTTATAGGACCGAAGAAATATGAATTCAGTACTTAATAACTTTTCCCCAAATCTATAACAAATGAAGTGTATGTTGAATATATCCTTTGTTTTCATTTATTTAAACTATATGCATGACAAAAATCTTTGTTTACTCTATGGTGAAAGGAGACAATGGTTATATTTTTTTTACGCATTAATACAGTTTAAATTTCAATCCAATTCATTTGAAATTCATTTGAAAAGTATAGAAAACAACAGTTACTATTTTCAAAGTGACGAAGAAAAAAGTTAAAAAATCTTTTGGAGGAAATTCTGAAATTAGATTAATTACAAATAATATACAGTTAAGGAAACTGAATTCACAATTCAAAGTTTTTTGTTTGATTTATTGCGATAAAAATATTGAATCAAAAGGTAGTTGATGTCAATGATTTGGAAATCAAAATGATGATAAATCAAAAACTTAAACAGAACATGTGATTTATTTATATAGGAATGCAATTAAAATGTTTTCTTAACACAACCCCTATAATAATTACTTTTAAAGATGATATTGCTCCCATTTCATTCGTGTTACAGAATCTTAATGACATACATGTATATGTTTGCCAGTCCTGAATTTCTTGAATTTCAAAGATTTTGCTATTGCTGAACACTTTAATTTGAAATTCAAGAAATTCAAGATTGGCAAACTTATACAAGTATGTCATTAAAATTTGTAACACGGAAAAAATGGAAGGTATATCATCTTTAAAATGTAATCATGCAATCAACACAGAAGTTGTTTTTAGCTGGGGTTTTTTTTTTATTTCGGCCTAAGGAATTATTTTTTTTACCCTTAAATGAACAAAATAAACATCATTTAATTAAGCCCACCTTAAATATTTATCTAATAGAACTAATTTAAAAGTTAAATATCAAAAATTGATAACGTTTGATTAGTCAAATAAAAAAATTATAATACTGTTGCTTTAAATGTTATATAGCAGGAAAATGGACAGTAACTTTATAGCAATATTAAATACTATATGGTATCTTTTTGTATCCAGTTAGAGAGTGTAATGGTCAAAACTGAAAGGTTGGTTGTTAATAAATATTTGGGAACCTAGATAGAAGCAAACATATCATAACAGCACTGAATTAATTTTTATTTATTTATTTATTTATTTTTTGAATTTTTGACACAAGTTATTTTACATAGAGAAATTTGCGTTCTCAAAAAAAAAGAGGATCAGATTAACACATACACATACGAAGAGTCAATTTGATATCCTTATGCGGTCACAATAACCATTGACAACCATAAAAAGAATCACATTTGGCTTTGTTGAATGTTACAATTAGCTTTATTATCTGATTGCATTTTTTTTCAAATAATTGCATTTATTTCTTATTAATACATTAATAAAACAATCAAATTTCTTTTGAATGCAATACATTGTTTTGTAATAATGCTTGCATAACATAGTAAAATTACCAGTCATATGTTTGTCATGCATTAAAATACCAGCAATTTAACGACTACATGCTTATTGCAGCCCGGAGGACCGGGCTGCTCTATACATATAAGTTTAAGTGTTGGAGTATGGTGATTGGGTAGGGAGAAGTTATTCAGAATTAAAGGTTTTCTTAACATTGAAAAGATTGTTTATCAGAATGTTCTTCCATTTCTAAATTACGATATACATAATATATAAACTTCCATTAAGTGAATATGTAAAAATAAATATGTTTTACATATTTAATATATAAAGTTGATTATCATTTACTATCGAAAAAACGACAGATCCCTTTTTTTTAGAACATCGAATTTTACTTCTCGCATAAAAACGTACTATGCATAGTTCATGTCTTATTTTCTAAAATTAAACATTAATACATTTTTGAATATATGTGATGCATGTGTCTAACTTCAGTTTATATTTTATGCAGCCAACATTTACACGAGGAATTGATCAAGTTTAAAATGGTATCGTTTTTGTTTGTTTTGATCCGACTATAAGTTTTCAAAATATTCGCAACTATCGTCGCCATCAATTAGACGCATGCCTTTTCACACATATTAAAGCGGTTTGATGATCAAGACTTATTCCCATTGTTTACTTTATACATTTCCCGGGCGACAATTGATGGTTACATCAATGTTTACTTGTTGTTATTGCAATGTGTTTCCAATGCTTAAAGTTCGAATTAGGAGACTCTGAACATGTTAAAAATGCCAACTTTCAAAATATACTAAACGCTTCCACGAAAACCGTGAGACATAGCATCCGCAAACAATATTTGCTTGATTTACAATATCAAAGAAGTTCATCAAAGACTGTGCGTGCATATTTTACTTCTTTATTTACGTGAAATCCGATCCTCGAGTTCTGAGAAATCAAGATTTAAGTACATGTAAATGTAAATTGTATATGTCTTTAATTCACAAAGTATTGTGTATTTACATATAGAATTTCATCCTAGTTCATCTGCATACTTCATTATGTACTGTTAGAAAATTTACTATTTTTTTTAATATTAGGGAATAAAAGTACAAGCTACTTTCTTTCTAATTGGACTATGATCGACAAGTGTAGACGTAAGTTTAAATATTAAGTTTGAAAGTACAAAAATTCAAAACGAACGTTTTATCCTTGTTAAGGATTCTTTATAAAAACCAGATTAACTACTGATAGTTAGAAAGATATGAACACAAATTGTTACATTTTCCGGATACTAATATTACAGTGTCAACGGTGAGGACAAAAGTTAACAGGGGCACCGCCCTCGTAAAAGTTCATATCGACCCTAATGTGAATTAATACTAAGGTAATTGTCTTGTATAATTTGCATCACGCTTTCTCGCAGAACACATACACAAACACACACTCTCTCACTTGATGTTGATTATAACCTCTTTGATTTGTTGAGACAAGATCTCCCTTGTTTTTCCAAAGGACACGCCATTTTATTTTTAATATTTTCTTTGGAAAATGATGTTATAATTTTAGACAATTCCACTAGATTTGTAAATTGAGCATTTTGAGTTTAGATGTGTTCAATGCCATAAAGAATGGAGCCTAATTCTCCAGTTATTTATCCGTTTTTGAGCATTGATTATTAAAAGATTTCTGAATTATAACAGAGTGCAAATACTAGACCAGGCAGCTTTTTTGTTTAACTACATCTTTCATATAAACCTTGCTCTTCATTGAAGACTAAATTTAAGGAGGCTGGGGGGTCAACAAATAAACCAAAAATTAACCACCAGAATTAACTTAT